GGGAGAATAGAATAGAATAGAGAATGGAAGGGGAGGGAAGGGAAGGGCAGGGTTTTGATTTGGGAGCCTCAGATGCAGAGACAGCACGTCCTCATGTCCAGCTGACTTGTTCACGGAAGGAGAGCAGCTGGTCCTGGTGGCCGTTTACTGCTGACTCTGGTGGCCACGATTCCTTGCTCGGATGCAATCAGAGTCTTTGTGTTGCCCTGAAAGGTGAAAAAAGCAGAGTTCTCCTGGCTTTGATGAGGTCAGCCTGAGCCAAGAAGAGGCAGGAAGCCCCCCCAGGGAAGCCCTTCGCCCACCTGCTGACAGCCCCTGGTTCAGCCCCATCATCTCAGGTGGGGCAGGAGAACCCGTGGGGAAGAGGAGGAGGAGGGGCCGTGGGGAGCGGTCGATCGAGTGCCTTCGGTTCCCACAGGGAAGGGGGCTTGTTTCAGTTTTACAGGATTCCATGATTGGGAGCCACGAAAGAGCACAGGAGAGGAGCTAAAAGGTTGGACCCGCTTGATAGGCGGTTTCTGATAGTAGCAAGGAGTTTGGACAGACCTTGGAACCAGATAGTGCTATTTTTTTGTTCCAGCAGCTCTTCATGAATGATATCATGAAGTAATTTGTCCACATTGTTTGGGTAACTTTAGTGTTTGTCTCCTGCCTGGAGAGAGGAGGAGTTAATTTAACTCCTTGATGTCATAATCTGAAAATATGTGTCAATCTACATAGTAAAGCATTTGATGTCCACTGATAAGCTAATAGGAACATATTTGCTCTGAGATGTGCTTCATTTTCAACAGATGTATCCTCGGGAGGTTTGTAGCTAATCTGAATGAGACGCATTTTTCTTTGTCCGTAGCTTTTAAAAACAAGGAGGAAATGACCTGGAAATGTGCTGCATTGTCAGTTCAAACTCTTGTATTTTTCTTCTGATGCTAAGATGCCAACTTTATTTTAATACTACTCTTTATAACTCTCTTCTTGGATCATGTCTGAGCAAGCTGAAGACAAAAATCCATTGGGAAACAAATTCACTTTTAATTTCAAGGGCTTTTACTGGAAAACCTCTAGTATAAACTGAGACTGTAAATAATTTGGGGAAAAACCGAGGAATGTTTTCAGCTAAACCATAAAACTCTCTAGTTATTTTGAAATAAATGGTAAATCTTTCTGCCTTGGTGTTCGTAGCGTGCAATTCTGTGTGTGCAACATTAATGCACAAGGTTCCAAAAGTGCCCCATTATTCCCACCAATTAGCTTGAGAGGTTGGGAAAAAAGCAAAAAATCCTCAGATGTTTCCTGTTTCCATTTGTTAGTAAGTTTCCCATCCGGTTACGGCTTGTGTAGATGTCCCAGAAATGTTGCTGTTGATCTCAGGAAGGGAAGGGAAGCGGAGAATTGGGGCCACTTGCTCCATGAGTCCCTTCCCCCCAGAGGACAACGACGAGAGAAAGACTGCCAGTGCCAGCTCAGTGGCCAAGCAGCTTCCTCTCCGCATCTCCACCTCCCACTATATTTCAAGTTGTCTGCTCCAGCAGAGAGACAAAGGGAAGCCCCTTCCCTAACTTTCCCCCCACCCCCACCCATCAACTCAGCAGGTTTTCCTTGGAGGCTTCTCTGGCGCTGTATGAGATGGGCAGATGATAGAACTAAAACCTATTAGGAACCAACATTCTGCACATTTCCAAAGCATTGGTGTGTGTTTCCATGTATGGGTCTCATTAAAAGGTGGCTTAGGCATCATGTTACAGAACTCAAATTACAAAATTATTCCTCCTACTAAAATAACTTGATTCCTGTTTGTGAGTTAGTGAGTCACTTAACCTCAACCTAAACATGTTCTCCATGCTGGCCAACTTCCATAGTTCTGAAGTGCATCATTCATAAAGTTCTAAGCGATGGTGTCCGTCTCTCATTCAGATGCACAAGGCTAAAATTTGGTGCCACTTGATCAGCTGTCAGTAGATTCCAAGCAAAGATAAACAGAACCTGAGCCCTGGCAGCAGAGACCTTCGTGCCCACCAGCAGTGGGTCTTTAAAGGTAATGGGCTGGTGGGGAACCCCATAGCAGGAGCAGAAGGGTAGGGTGACAATCCAAATAGGGGCTCTTGAACAGAAATCTCAGCTGGAGGGTTAAGCAATATCCCCCCTCCCCAAATGTACTTCAATATTTAATCCCCTCCGTGGAGCCCTTGGTGGTCTCTTGAGCTCGATGCTTTGCTTGCAGATCGTTTCTCTGCCCGACTAGATAACTTCATCAGTGCAGGGGAAGGTGGGATTTGTTCCCAAGATGTTCCCCAGTTGGGTAACGAAAGGTCTGCAGGGAAACCAGCCGGCCAGGAGAGCACAGAGCTGAATCTGGAGCCCCAGAGATTCCCTTCCATGAACTCCTTCATTTGCACAACTTTTATCTCTTTGGGTGAAGCCAAGAATCAGAAGGTCAGACTCTTTCCAGCCTTTGGATAATCATTGAAAGATCAGGATGTGAGTCTATGAACAAAACAAATACTTGCAATATCAGATCCATGGCCATTATGCAGCCCTAATTAGTGTCAGGGCTACATATAAGATTGAAGGCAAAGCCTCAATTAGAGTCAGATTGGCTAAATTATTATAGGCTTTGACAGAGCTGAAGTACTTATTAAGTAGGCTAAGTATTGTAAATAAAACTCGGAGTACACAAAGAGAAAATACACAACGGCTGCCAAGTCTCCTAACTTACCCCAAGTCTAATGGCCGATAGGACGACCCAGTGTGAAGATTTGACAACTCCCAAGATGGGGCCCCCAAGCTGAGGCAGGCCAGGCCCACGGAGGACCCGGGTGCTCATACAAAGAGGAGAGGATGCCTGCTGCGTAAACACAATTTACCATTAACTTTTATAGTTCCTTCTGTTTGCCAAAGCGGATTGTGTTTGACTATTGGGATTGTCTGCGCATTCCTCAGGGCTCAAGAGTGGCCTTGTGGGATGCGCAGAGAAGGGGCCATCAAGGACCCCGCCCAAGGTACAAAAGCAAACAAAAGGAAGGAAGGGAGGAGCCAACTCCAACTGATGAAGCTCTGATTCTGGAGGAGATGCGCTGATTCAGCAGCCGATGCATCAGGACTCCCGGGGCCTGGATGCAGTGCCCGCCGGGCAAGGGCCGCTTCTCAGATTTTGCCGTTTCTTCTTGTCCCTCAGCAGGGAAGCCTTTGGGTGGAGAGAATAGACTCATTCAATGGCCGGAGCCTGTGACTGGCAGCCGCTTAAGGCTGCTGCTCACCCATAACTGCGTCCTCGGGTGCGTCACGTTTGTGTCATTCTGGCTTAATTGCTCAACTGACATTGTAAGGGCGAATGCTAACCCTGATACAGCAACCTTATTATTCCTGTAGTGCCTTTTGCTAAAGGACCCTGGCAGGTTCTCCCGCTCTGCTGCCAGGTGCCACCAGCCGCTTTGTTTGAGGAAATGTCGACTTTGACTAAGAAAATGGTACAGAAGCCTGTTGTAATCACGACTGAAAAGTAGTATCTAAAACATCTGCAAGAAGAGCCCATTTATCTGATACTGGGAGGATAAAATCTATATTGAGGCTGAAGTCTGTGTGTGTGTGTGCAGG